CGGCGCCACCGGACCCTCTGACCATCATCAGTAGGCAAGGTGGGTGAAGTGTCTTGCCCAAGGACACAACGACTGAGACGGCTGGACGGGTGATCGAACCATATAAGCAGCATTTTAATAACTGAAGGTGACATTACTTATGGTATAGAACTGAACTATATGCCTTGAAAAACCCATAATGTTGGCCCTTTTTTAAAGTGTTTTGACATGTTACTGGGAAACATTACATGCATTTACAATATGTTGATGCATATTTTAAACAGAACACACAGAGCATTATTTTTCTCTTCTGAGTTTGAAAGCAAGTATTTTTGGATACACATGTGAAAACTCACAAATATATTACATAAATTGTAAAATTATAATTTTACATTTTTCTTTTTTGGGCAATTTGTTTAAGGTATCAATGTTTGATTCCTTCGGACCTTTTGTATGTTTTGTTGCTTTGGATGAAATAACAGTTGGACATCGCCTCCTTTTTTAACTCGGCGTGTCAAACTTCCCAGCAGCAATAAACATTAACGTCCCATCTCAGCGGCGCTGTGAAACCGACACCTCTCGCGCCGCGTCTTTTCATTATGCTTCCACTCAATCTATCATGTTGAGCTTATTCCCTGAGGGGATCAAAGGGCTGCAGACCCAGACACATGACCCCAATCTCGGGTCCCGCTCAAATGTCAAGAGGTGAAGCTGGGACACGCCGGCTCAGGGTGTAACCCAGTAAACACGTGCTAACAGCACAGCGTCTGGCTGCTGTGAAATGAGCCTAACTACTATTACTGGGGTAGACTCTTTGGGGGGTCGGGTGGTGGGGGCGGTAGCTGAAGTGAAGGAAACATTTATGAAGTTCATTGGGTGCACTGTGGTGAGGACAAACAGAAAATAAATCCTGGGTTTTGCRAAGCAGAGCAGCTTTTCCTTTTTGTTTTGTTTTTTTCCTCACATGATTGGGGGTTTCTAAATTTTCACTGGTTTCTGGTTTTAGTGCTGAAGCTCTGAAAATATTTATGAAAAGAAAATAATTTAAAATTGTTGCATTAAATAATTTTAAAATTGGTTATGTTAAGTGGAGCCAATGCAAGCTTTAGCTTTAACATCAAAGTTATTCACAACTTTCTGTCTTGTGCAAAATTGTGCTGAGGAGGCATTAACTTTACATCTCATCAAACAGAAAACTAAAGCAACAGAATGATTAATGGCCTCCGTGGACTTTGTGGACAAATGTTAGCCAAGGGAGCAATAAAAGGTGATGGTGGAAACGGTTCCCCTCTCCTCCTTTCCTTGCTAGGGCCCTCTCTCGCTCTCTCTCGCTCTCTCGCTCTCTCTCTCTCTCTCTCTCGCTCTCTCTCTCTTTTTCGAGCGATTCTCAAACACCTCAACATTTCTTTTATTCAAGACAGCGACCAGACTAGCCACCTTGAGCTTCAAATTTCCTGAAGACAAGCACAAAGAGAGGCTGAYATTAGTCAGGTGGAGTGTGGGAGGATACAGAAAGGAGTATGTGCTTCTTGCTGAAAGGGAAAACAAAAGAAAACAAGTCCTTGGGCTTGTAAGGATCTGTTTAGGATCCAGGTAATTTTTATCTGAGGTCATGTTTCTAGTAATTTCTCCTGACTCGAAAGCGAAAATCAAATTCTGTAAAGTTTTATTAGTGTTGGTGGGAAAGGGGATTTTTCTTATTGTATAATTTTATACATTAATTCTATTTAAAGCAATTAATGCAGGTTAAAATCATATTCAATTCTTACCTTAGACACTCTCTGGGCCACTTCCCGGCCAACGGAGAGTCCTTGGACGAATGTGCGTGCTGCGATGAATGCTCGGGTAACCTGAGCCTTGAGCTTCCTGGGCACGTCTCCAAAGGGCTTGAGCTGGTCGGTGTACTTACTGATACACTCCAGATAGTCCTCTGTGATGACATACTGCGAGTTGAGCAGCGTGAACATGCGCTCCAGCAGCCGAGACCAAAAGTCRTTAAGCATTTCCTCCAGGTTAACGTTCCCTCCTGTGTAATAGCGCTTCAGCTCGGCAAAGAGGTTCTCAAAGACCTCGGCGTTCTGCATGTAAGGCTTGCCGTAAGTCCTCACAAACATCTCATTCAGGGACCTCTCTGTGTTCTCCAGAAGCTCCAGGAAGAATTCTAAATTGGAATAAAAAAACAAGTTATTTTCTGTACATATTTCTATAAAAGCATGCTTTAAGGTATAGTATTTTAAATATATTAGCAATTACAATTAAAATACAACAAACTGGCATACTGTATATTGATTTCGTTATAAAGAATCTTCAAAGCATTTAATTGTTG